CCTCGCCGCAGCCCTCCCTCCGGAATGAAGAGCCAGCTTTGTCTGGGGCAGGACAGCTGGGCCTGGCGGCTCTGGAGGGAGAGCTGATGGGCCTCGGGCACCGAGCATGTGTGCGGGCGACACCCAGAGAGAGGCATGTGGGCGCGGAGCGGTGCCTGCTGTGGGAGCCTGAGCCCGGGTGGGGGGGAGGGGGAGGGGCCCCGGGGGGGGGGCTGCCATGTGCTCCTCCGGGCGGGAAAGACATTAGGAGCCCACAGGGCGGAGTTTGAGGAGCACCTTCCCCTCGGCTCCTCTCCCCAGAGGGGGAAGCCAGGTGTCCCAGCCTCCCCACACCCTGCGGTTCCGGACGGCGAGGCCAGACCCGCAGGCCGGCTCCCTCTGGAGGGAGGAGGCGCCTCCCTGGGCCTCCGTCTGCCTCCGCCGGCGTCCCCGTGCCCCCGCCCCCTGCGTGCACCACGCCGTGTCTGTGCTCCTCTGTCCGCTGGGAGTGACCTCAGGCGCCCGGGAGGACGGGTTCTGGGTGTCCGAGCCGCCCCCTTTCCAGGCCTCGGTTTCCCCGTCTGTCGGAGTGCGGGAGCTGGCCAGGGAGGAAGTCCTGCTGGAAGCCCTGAGCGAATGTAGGGCCCCCCCTAGTGTCAGGGCGCCAGGGGGCGTGTGGGAAAAGCCCCAGAGAGGCAGTGTGAGTGGGAAGAGAGTAAGTCAGCGGGTAAAACAACAGGTGAACCCGCTTGGGAAGAGGATGGGGGCGTTGGGGGGGCTGGCAGGGCTGAGGCGGGCTCCAGGTTGGGGCGGGATTTGGATGGACACAGAGGCAGGAGCGAGGGAGGGGGTATGTGCAGTGGGAGGGGTAGCTGGGGTGGCCCCAGGAGCTGCCCCAGCCCATCACTGGGCAGAAGACAGCGTGGCCACGGGTTTAGACACCGGGGAGGGCAGGAGAGAGCTGTTCCTGAGCCAGGAGGCCAGCACGCCCTGCCCAGCCACAGGGGGCGCTCTCTCCTGAGGGACAGGAAATGCCCCCTACCCTGCGTCTCCTCTCCCCACTTCTCCAGGGTCTCCTTCAGTCATGGGGAACTCCACTGGCCGGTGAGGCTGGGGGGCTGAGGTGGGGCCTGCAGGGGTGTGGGGTGGGAGCTTCCTGTTCTTATTTTAGTCCCAGCCCTTGTCTCTGCTCCCCTCGGCCCAGGGGAGGAAATGGGGGCCTCCCTCGGGGCCCTAGCACGTTGCTCCCGGCAACCAGGCCCAAACAGGCCTGCGGCAGGCAGGCCCGGCTTCCATATCTGGCATCGAGCTCTGCTGCAGAGGGTGACTCAGCGGGTGGGTCACCCTGGGCCCCGTGCCCACCCAGCCCCTTAGCTCTGCCGGGCTCCGTTCTTCCCCAAAAGCAGCCCCAGAGCCTGGCCAAGCCTCAGCCTCGCGGGCCCCAAGCCCTGGGCCGGCCAGCCCGCTCCGCTCCGGGCGCTCCTTTCTGCCTCCTGCTCTTCCCCCCGCTCCCCTGCCCTCCCTACACACACACACACACACACACACACACACACACACACCCCGCCCAGCTCAGACCTGCCAGCTGTGGGGAGAGTCGGCAGCAGGCGGCCCAGCCCTTCTCGCCTCACGAGGCCCCTGGGATGGAGCCGCTCCTATGCTCGGGGACCCGGCGGATGCGAGGGAGAGCGTCCTCCCTGCCCTGGCATGGCGTGGGGCCGGGGCAGGACGCGGGCAGAGCCAGGGTCTCCCCTGTGAGCACTAGAGGATTTCCCGACCCCTGCCCCGGCATTGTCTGCTGGGGATGAGTCAGTGAGAGCCCCTGGTTCCCACCCTTCCCAGCTCCCCTCCCTGCCCCGCCCTGTCCCCCTGCCAGCGGCGTGGGACAGCACGTGCCCGTTCTCCCCCTGCCAACCCCAGGCGGCTCCGCTGCTCTGGGGCCCAGCCCCCGGCCAGGGTCTGTCTGGGGTCTGGGCCGGACCTGAAGACCCCAAGGAGCTGGGACATGGCCGTGGGGGCGGGCCCGGGGCGGAGGGCGGGCGTGCGTGCGGCTCCTCACCGCAGAGCTCCCGGCTGAGTCATGAGCCGTGAGTGATAGTGGCTTCTCCCCCCGCTGGGGGCTCCCCCGGCAGCTGAGGAAACCGCAGGGCCCTTCCCCATTTCCCCCTCGGCTCCCGGTTCTCCTCTGCCAGGCGCGGCTCGGTCCTTCGTGGCACCCGACGCGGGCGATCCTCTAATTCATGTGTCAAACACAAGGCCCGCGGGCCAAATCCGTCCCGCCAGGCCTTGCAACGTGGCCCGCACCGCGCTGTCATCACTGCACTCTGCTGCGTTTCCATCACAGTGACAGTTTATGACTGTTCAGTAAACCATTCGGCCCGCGATTTAGGCTGGATTTTAGATTTTGGCCCCTTCTCTGATTGAGTTCGACACCCCTACGTCTAATTCTCCGGGACGGCAGCGAGCGAGCCCCTTGGTTTCCTGGGGCCGTTACGTTGTGGCAGGCGCTGAAGCAGCACAGCCACCAGCCGTGAACTCAGCTCCCCGTGCCTCAGTTTCCCCCATCGCCTCGTAATAGCATCTCCCGGGCCCTGCCCCGGGCCCAGGCCATGCCGTGGGAGGACGGGGCGAACAGGGAGCCATTCAGAGCAGCACCGGGTACAGGACCGGCTCGATCTGTGTTTGCTGTTCTGATGCTATTGCGGCGATAACCACTGCTCACACACAGCCTTTGGGAGCGGCAGGAAGAGAGGGTTAGACCGAAGGGAAGATGCTCGCCGCGGTGCACCCGTACGCTGCCAGGGGCTCCGAACTCTGCCTCCTGGCTCAGGGCTGCACAGGCAGGGCATTGCCCGGGGGAGCTGGAGCTGTGCCCCTGGGGTCTGAGGTGAGGGAGCAGGACCAGGAAGAGATGCCCTTGTTGGGGTGTCTCCTGCAGGCATCGCTCTTTCCTGCGTCCCCAGCTCAGGCTGGCCGGCCGGGCGGAGCCCTCCCCTCCCGCCAGCGCCACGCCCGCCGGGCCCAGGGCTTAGGAAGCAGCGAGGGGAGCCCTCCTGGACCCCGTCCCCACTGCGGCTTTGGGGCTTGCAGTGCCTGACCCTGGGCCGTGACCTCCCTCCTCTGTGCCCCAGTTTTTCTTTCTGTAAAAGGAGGGGGCTGAGCAGAACCCACTTGAAACTCCTCTTGAGTTCTCTGTACCCCGTGAGCTCCCAGTCCTGCCAGCAGGGGAGCGAGGCCGCTTCTGGGAAGCCCTGGCCAGCCCTGGAGTCGGTCAAGGCCCTCGGAATCCGTCTGCCGCGTCGTCGCTTCACCAGCGGTTTCCCCGCCTCTCCCTCCTCCCCCTGCGGCTGCCTCGCGCTTCGGAGAAGTTCTGAAGTCATGGAAAGTTGGGGCTGAGCTCCCAGCCAGGGGCTGGGCCGGATGGCGGCCAAAACCTGAGCTGGGTTTTGACTTTATTTTTAGCTTTTCAGGCCGAGACGGAGGAGGAGGAGGAGGAGGAGGAGGAAGAGGGGGAGGAGGAGGAGGAGGAGGAGGGGGAGGAGACCTCCTCGGTTCTGGGAGAGCCTCCTTTCACGGGACACAGACACGGGGCATTAGGCAGCTTGTCGTGAGGTGTGGCCAGAGGCCTGACAGGAGCAAGCATGCCGGCTGGGGGGGGGCTCACATCCTTCCCGGGCCCTCCAGACGTCCCCCGCCCTCCCAGGGAGCCGGTGGAGGGGACGTGGCTCCTGTTGGGATCTGCGAAGGTGGCAGAGTGCTGCCTGGGTCTCGGTCGTGGCCTCTGCCTCCAGCGTGGCCTCCAGCCTGGCCTCTCCCGCCCGCCTCCCGGCAAACTGGCGGAGCTGGCGCTTTTGTGGCAGGAGAGGAATGCTGGCGGGGGCCGCTTTCCCCTCTCCAGGACGGAATATTTCCCCTGCCTACGTTCGGTTTTCTTTTTTCCATCTGCCGCGGTGGGTTTGTGCTGAAGGCCTGATGGGTTACAGATGGCAGCCGGGGCCGGCCCTGGGCCCTCCCCCGCCCCCTGGGCCTGAACCCTTTCTGTCACCAGACATCGTGCGAGGACTAGAACATCTGGAGACGCCTTGGATCCCCAGGGTTTTTTGTGTGTGTTTTTTAAGAACATAGGACTCCTTTATTTTTCCAGTTCACTATCCAGCAGAAATAACCAGGGGCCCAGAAAGGGGAGCGGGAGACAGAGGCCGCCTGATGGCCCGGTTCTAGCTGGAGCTTTCCCTGCCTTGAGGAGCCGGGAGGTCATGTCTGGAGCCAGATGCTGAGGCTCATGGTCCATACATAGGGGTCCGCATTCTCTCGGGCTCTGAGGAGGCCCAGGAGGGAGGCTGGGAGCCTCGTGCTCTGCCCAGAACACGGGACCCAGACTGAGTCTGAGAAAGAGAAGGAAGGGTTCATACCTCGCCTGGTTGTCCTCACCCCAGGCCTCCCTGAGTTCTACCCAGGCGTACCCCGCAGTCCCCAGAGTGTCACAGGGACTAGAGGGGGGTGACTCACACCTTCAGGGTCCAAACTGAGCACCACGAGGGATGCACAGACCTCAGGGCTGGGAGTCTGGGGTGGGGGTGGGGGCTTGGCTGGATGAAAGGCGGGTGGAGCCGGGGAGGAGAAGGTTAAGGCGCCAGTGTGGGAAGGGGTGAGAGACAAAGGTGGCCCTGTGTCTTTGGGAAGGAGGGGAGAGAGGGAAAAGCATATGCATTCATCTCACAGGATCTAGCTTTGCCTTGGCCCCAGGCACGTTCCTGAGCCCTGAGTCATGGGAAGGGTGGAGAAGCAGGAGAGGGGTTTGGGGGACTCTGGAGGAAGTGGGAGTCCAGCCTCACAGGCAGGCAGATGCCAACAAACCAAATCCCAGGGTGCCCTCTGCTGGCAATGGGAGGGATAGCAGAGCCAGGCCCCACAGCTGACCTCTGGGGACCTCTCTCTCTCTCTCAATCTCTCTAGGGAACCTGGCTCTTTCTAGGGACACCGACTCCTCCCCTTAAACTCTTTCTTCCTTGCTTCTTCAGCAATACCAAAAAGGAGGGAGACCTGATGGCCGCCCAGGCCCGCCTCAAGGACCTGGAGGCTCTGCTCAACTCCAAGGAGGCCGCTCTGAGCACGGCGCTCAGCGAGAAGCGCACGCTGGAGAGCGAGCTGCACGACCTGCGGGGGCAGGTGGCCAAGGTGAGACCCGCCCGGGCCGGCCCGTGACCCCCGGGCCCCATTCTCCTCTCCCGGTGGCGCCCTGGAGGGGCCTGATCTTCCCCGTCCCAGCCTCAGAGCCACGCACCTGTCCCAGCACCATTTCAGCCCACCCGGACCCCATTTCCTCTCTGTGCTGCCCATGGCATCCGGCGGAGTGAATGTAAAATATTCCACAAGCATTCCCGTTTAACGTTAAGATGAACTGTGCTTGGCCTTGGACTTCCTCCTGTTCCTGGTCTGGCCTTCTCTTGGGGACAGGAGTGGCGTGTAGACCCTCCACAGAACCCACAGTCAGGAGCTGATGTTCATCACACATAGGACACATGTTCTTCATGACTAGCATGTATATATGGTGGTCTTTACCGTCTTTTTTTTTTTAATTCTGAAACCTTTTTTATTTTATTTTAAATATTTTATTGATTTTTTTTACAGAGAGGGATGGAGAGCCAGAAACATCGATGAGAGAGAATCATCAATCAGCTGCCTCTTGCACCCGCCCCACTGGGGACGTGCCTGCAACCAAGGCACATGCCCCTGACCGGAATCGAACCTGGGACCCTTCAGTCCGCAGGCCGACGCTCTATCTACTAAGCCAAACCGGTCTCGGCTTTACCTCCTTTTTTTTATTTATTTTATTTTATTTTATTAATATATTTTTATTGATTTTTTACAGAGAGGAAGAGGGATAGAGAGTGAGAATCACCGAACAGCTGCCTCTTGCACACCCCCTACTGGGGATATGCCTGCAACCAAGGCACATGCCCTTGACCGGAATCAAACCTGGGACCTTTCAGTCGGCAGGCTGACGCTCTATCCACTGGGCCAAGCCGGTTTCGGCTCTTTTTATTTTTTTATAAGATTTTTTTTGGTGTGCCGCAGAATTTTAATCATTAGTTTCTTTATTTTTAAATATATTTTTATTGATTTCAGGAAGGAAGGGAGAGGGAAAGAGATAGAAACATCAACGATGAGAGAGAATCATCTATCAGCTGCCTCCTGCACACCCCCTACTGGTATTGAGCCCAAAACCCAGGCATGTGCCCTTGACCAGAATCGAACTCAGGACCCTTCAGTCCGAAGGCCAACGCTCTATCCACTGAGCCAAACCAGCTAGGGCTACTTTCTTTTCTTTTTTTAAAAAATTTTTATTTGTTGATTTGAGGGAGAGAGAGAATCATGGATGTGTTGTTCTGCTTATTTATGCATTCCCTTGGTCGTTTCTTGTTGTGTCTTGACGAGGGACTGAACCTCGGTGTATCTGAACGGAGCTCTGACTGATGGAGCTATCCACCAGGGCTGGCCTTTGCTTTCAGAACACTGCTGTCTAGTTCATCCTCTCATCTCTCTTCACCGCCCAGGAACCTATTTAAAAAGCTGGCTTCCTGTCAGCGTCACAGCCCCATCTCCCAGAGCAGCTGCCAAGACTCTGTCTGGCCTGCCTCCCCTCCCGGGCGCTACCACCACAGCACACCCCGGGGGCACAGGGAGGTGCTGGCTGACTACAAGACCAAGACCGGGCCCTGCTCCTCCCGGGTCTCCTTCCAGCTCTACCCGCACCCCCAGCCCTTCCCAGCTGCCCTGCCAGCCTGCGCTTCCTGAGATGAAAACCTGTCAAAGATCCCAAAACCGGTTTGGCTCAGTGGACAGAGCGTCGGCCTGCGGACTGAAAGGTCCCAGGTTCGATTCCAGTCAAGGGCATGTACCTTGGTTGTGGGCACATCCCCAGTAGGGGGTATGTAGGAGGCAGCTGATTGATGTTTCTCTCTCATCGATGTTTCTAACTCTTCCTCTCTAAAAAATCAATAAAATAAATAAATTAAAAAAAAAAAACTAACAAAGATGCTTCCCTGCTCACCCTGCCAGCCCAGCCACCTCTCCATCACTCCCCCCTGACCCCCTGACCTCCTGAAGACCCTGAAGTTCACATGTGCCTTCCTACCTCCCTGCCTCTGCACAGGCTCTTCTCTGCCCCCCAGTGTCCCTCCCCAGGCCCCACTAACCGGTCCTCAGACCCTCCTCTGCCACTTTGCTTCCTCCTGTCCTGCTCCCTAAAGATTTGGGACAGACTGCTTTTCCAGCTACGCTGTGTTATGCCAGAGGGGGCAGTTGCTAGCCCTTATTTCTTACCAAGTTCCCACCCGGAGTCGTTGCTCTGAGTGAGGAGATACCCTCACCTCCATGGGCCTTCCCGGCTCTCCCTCCCTGGGGCCTGTCTCACACACACAGACGGATGGATGCCGGGGGACAAACAGCCTACTCCCCGGCCTCCTTCCGGCCCTGATGTGCTGAGACCCCTCTCCCTGACACCTGCCCCTTCCCCCAGCTGGAGGCCGCCCTGGGGGAGGCCAAGAAGCAGCTCCAGGATGAGATGCTGCGGCGGGTGGACGCGGAGAACAGGCTGCAGACGCTGAAGGAGGAGCTGGACTTCCAGAAGAACATCTACAGCGAGGTGGGCACCGTGCCCTCGGGCGGGACCAGGCCGGGCGGGACGGACACCGGGGCGGGCGGGGGCCGGAGGGTCCGCTGTGTGCAAGCTCACCTGCCGGCCTCCCTGGCACTAGTGGGGGGATGGGGGAGCCATCACCAGCTCCAGGTTAAAGAGGGGCTGACAGTGACTCACCGGGTCAGAATTGGGGGGCCGTAGCCTCTAAGGACCTCGTTCTCACTTTGATTTCGGCGTCTCGCCCTCCAGGAGCTGCGTGAGACCAAGCGCCGCCACGAGACCCGGCTGGTGGAGATCGACAACGGGAAGCAGCGGGAGTTTGAGAGCCGGCTGTCGGACGCCCTGCAGGAGCTGCGGGCCCAGCACGAGGACCAGGTGGAGCAGTACAAGAAGGACCTGGAGAAGACCTACTCTGCCAAGGTGCCGCCTCCGCCCGCAGCCCCGCCCCGCCCTGCCCGCCCTGGGACGTCCCGCGGGGAGCGGGTGGATGGTGGGGTGGGGAGGGGCTCAGGGTGCCCAGGGTCTGTGGCTGCAGTCGCGGTGCCTTCCCCGGTCCTCCCACCCTCCCTCCCTCCCTTCCTCCCTCCCACCCCTGCCGCCCTCACCCTGGGCCTCGCCTCCAGCTGGACAACGCCAGGCAGTCCGCCGAGAGGAACAGCAGCCTGATGGGGGCGGTGCACGAGGAGCTGCAGCAGTCCCGCATCCGCATCGACAGCCTCTCGGCCCAGCTCAGCCAGCTGCAGAAGCAGGTGCGCCCGCCGCCCGCCCGCCCGCCCGCCCGCGGCCGGGGTCCCGGGGGCTTCCTGAGGAGCGGGCGGGGAGGGAGGCACACAGCACGCTCCCCGGACCACAGGCTGAGGAAGGGCACAGGCTTTGCAGTTAGATGACCTGCTTGCTGTTCCCGGACTGCCTCTTCCCTCACCTGTATGACCTCCGTTTCTCAGAGCCTCGTTCCCACTGAAAATGGGGACCGCCTGAGATATCCCTCTGGCTGGTGTTCTCCGTGGTGAGGGCGTCGGCCGTGCACCGAAGGGTCTCGGGTTCGGTCCCTGGTAGAGGGCTCCTGCCTGGGTTTTGCTCCCCAGCCCCGTAGGGGTGCATGCGGGAGGCAATAAATCCATGTGTCTCTCGCACATCAGTGTTTCTCTCTCTTCCCCTCTTCCCCTCTTTCTCTCTTCTTCTCTTCCCCTCTCCCCACTCCCTTCCAGTCTCTCTAAAAATCAGTGGGAGAAATGTCCTCCGGTGAGGATTAACAAACAGAGGCACCCGTGTTACTCTGTGCCGTTTGTGGCCGGAAGAAACGGGCTCAAAATGAGGGGTTTCCGTGAGATACCGGGAAGGGCTTTCGGGTCGCCAGCCCAGGCCACGTTAGAGGCCACGGAGTCTCCTCTGGGCGCCTGGCGTTCCCGGGGCGTGTGGCTGGGTGCCCCCCACCCCTTACCTGTCCGCGCTCGGGGGAGCCCCGGGGCGCTCACCGGCCCCTGCCTCCCTCACCCAGCTGGCAGCCAAGGAGGCGAAGCTGCGGGACCTGGAGGACCAGCTGTCCCGCGAACGGGACACCAGCCGCCGGCTGCTGGCCGAGAAGGAGCGGGAGATGGCGGACATGCGGGCGAGGATGCAGCAGCAGCTGGACGAGTACCAGGAGCTGCTGGACATCAAGCTGGCGCTGGACATGGAGATCCACGCCTACCGCAAGCTGCTGGAGGGCGAGGAGGAGAGGTGGGCTGGGCAGGCGGCGGCGGCGGCGGGAGGTGCTGGTGGCCGCTCTGGCCTGTGGCCGGCCTTGACCTCTGTCCCCCCGCCCCCCCCAGGCTCCGCCTGTCCCCCAGCCCCACCTCGCAGCGCAGCCGCGGCCGCGCCGCCTCGCACTCCTCGTCCCAGTCCCATGGCGGCGGGGGCAGCAGCATCACCAAGAAGCGCAAGCTGGAGGCCGCCGAGAGCCGCAGCAGCTTCTCGCAGCACGCCCGCACCAGCGGCCGCGTGGCCGTGGAGGAGGTGGACGAGGAGGGCAAGTTCGTGCGGCTGCGCAACAAGTCCAACGAGGTGGGCGCCCGGCCGGGTGGGGGTGCCGGGGGGCGGAGGGGCCCTGGCCGGTGTAGGGGGTATGCAGGAGGCAGCTGATGGATGTTTCTCTCTCATCCATGTTTCTAACTCTCTGTCCCTCTGTCTTCCTCCCTGTAAAAAAAATCAACAAAATATATTTAAAAGAAAGAAAAGAAAGGTGAAGGGGTGAAGGGTGGAGAGAGGCAGACCCAGGAAGTGTGTGTGTCTCTCCCCCACACACTGGTTCTAGACCTGTGAGCATCCGTCTCCGCGTCTGTGAAACGGGGGTGAACCGTAGTCCCTGACTGAGTGGTGGAGAAGGCGAAAGGATCGCGGGTGGCAGAGTGCCCCGGGCCGCAGCTGTTCGCCTGGAGGGGGAGGGAGAGGCACCCACGCGTGCCCGGCTGGGCCCTGGAGCGATACGAATCCAGGAGCCCGGGCAGCACCCTCACCTTCCTGTTCCCTCCCTGCCCGGCAGGACCAGTCCATGGGCAACTGGCAGATCAAGCGCCAGAACGGAGATGAGCCCCTGCTGTCCTACCGCTTCCCGCCCAAGTTCACCCTGAAGGCCGGGCAGGTGGTGACGGTGAGTGGCGGGCTGCGTGGCCCCGGGGACGGGGACCGGCCGGCCTCGGGATGGGCCCCTGGAGTGAGCGCCCTTCTCCGATCCTCTCCCTGCAGATCTGGGCCGCCGGCGCGGGGGCCACCCACAGCCCCCCGACCGACCTGGTGTGGAAGGCGCAGAACACCTGGGGCTGCGGGAACAGCCTGCGCACCGCGCTCATCAACTCCAGCGGCGAGGTGAGCGCGCTGGGGGCCTGCGTCCGGTGCCGTCCTGTGCCCACACTCCGGGGGGCGCCCGCGTCCGGTGCCCACACTCCGGGGGGCGCCCGCGTCCTGTGCCCACACTCCGGGGGGCGCCCAAGTCCTGTGCCCACACTCCGGGGGGCGCCCGCGTCCTGTGCCCACACTCCGGGGGGCGCCCACGTCCGGTGCCCACACTCCGGGGGGCGCCCGCGTCCGGTGCCCACACTCCGGGGGGCGCCCACGTCCGGTGCCCACACTCCGGGGGGCGCCCCAGGACGGTTGAGAGCCCTTTGCCCCCAAGCCGAGGAAGCCAGTTCATGGCCCCGTTCCTCTCTCTCTGAGCCCTCAACGCTCCCCCAGGGGGCGAACCAAAGGAGGCCCCTCCATCAGCCTGCGTGGTGGGAGTTAGACGGGAGGATTGTGAAAGGCACAGGACCACCTTCCTGCCCAGACAGCTGGACAGTTTCTCTGGGGTAGAAACCAGTTCCTTCGCTCCAGCTCCCCTCCCTCTGTCCTCCCGCACCCCCCTCCCCCGCCTCCAGGGGGTGGTGGAGAGACAAGTAGGCAGCAGGCTGGACCAGGGGCAGAGCACAGGGAAGCCTCTCGGGTGGCCCCTGGGCGTGGGTGCCCCGGCCCCTCCCCGGCCCCACCCTCACGCTGGCCTGGCCCCCGTGTGCCCCGCAGGAGGTGGCCATGCGCAAGCTGGTGCGCTCCGTGACCGTGGTGGACGACGACGACGACGAGGATGGGGACGACATGCTCCATCACCACCACGTGAGTGGCAGCCGCCGCTGAGGGCCCGCCCGCCGCCCGCCCGCCCGCCCGCCTGCCCGCCCGCCAGCCCGGGGCAGCCCGCCAGCCCGCCCGCGGCCGGGCACCCCCGGCCGCCCCCATGCCAAAAATCTCTTCATTAAAGAATGTTTTGGAACTTCACGTGCTGCCCTGGCTTTTCTTCTCTCTCCTCCCTGTGCCTGGACCAGGGGGCCGGGTGTCGGGGCGCCCTCCTCTGGTTAGAGAAGGGAGCGGGCACCTGACGCCATGGCGCATTCCCATGGGGCGGGGGACAGGGGCCCGGAGTGGTCTCCTGGGGAGGGGGCTCCCGGCCCTGCCTCTCTCCCCCGCCCTCCATTTCTGTTGCATGCCTGCCCTTCCTTCCCCGTTTCCGGCAAGAACGTGCTCTCTCCCTCCCACCCTCTCCGGTTGATTTTGCATGCCTGCTGCTCTCTCTGCTCCCTCTTAAGCTCAGAGTAGCTGGCACAGGCCACGCCACACTCCAGTTCCTTGTCCTGCAGTCTTCCTGACCCTTCCCCCTTCCCATCCCTCCCCTCCCCCTGCTCCCAGCCCGGCCTCTGGGCCCTGTGGCCCGCCCTCTGGCCCCTGGAGGACAGACCCTCCTTCCTGCGGGAGCCCCCAGAGCTGGGTCAGGCCTCAGCAGTCAGGGCAGCCCGCACTCGCCGTCCCCGCCGAGCCCCTGAGCCTTGTCTCCTCCTCAGGGAACCCACTGCAGCAGCTCGGGGGACCCCGCCGAGTACAACCTGCGCTCCCGCACGGTGCTGTGCGGGGCGTGCGGGCAGCCGGCCGATAAGGCGCAGGCCAGCGGCGCGGGAGCCCAGGTGGGCGGATCCGTCTCCTCTGGCTCCTCCGCCTCCAGCGTCACGGTCACCCGCAGCTACCGCAGTGTGGGGGGCAGTGGGGGTGGCGGCTTCGGGGACAGCCTGGTCCCCCGCTCCTACGTCCTGGGCAGCTCCAGTCCCCGGGCCCAGGTGAGTTGTCTCTCTCTGTCTCCTCGCCCCCACAGGCAGAGGACCCCGGTCCTTGGCGGGGAGGACAGGACGGCCCTGGGAGGGGAGGACAGCCTTCTCTCCCGGAACCCCGGGGGAGTGGGAGCCTCCCCGCAGCCCGGCCGGGGTCCTGGGCAGTCAGGCCTGCCTCCCGCCCCTCCGGTCTGAGCCCCAGACTGGAGGGCGGGGCGGGCTGGGGGTGAGGATGAGGAGGGAGGGGCGGGCCAGGCATGGCTGCTCACACGTCTCCTCTCTTCCTTCCCAGGCCGCCCAGAACTGCAGCATCATGTAAGCTGGGACCTGCCGGGCCGAGGCGGGGCCACCTGCTTCCCCCTCGCCTCGCGCCCACCCCATCCCTGCACCTCAGGGCGGGGCCTTGAAGCCAAAGAAAAAGACCCCTTTGGTGTTTTTTTTCTTCTGTGTTTTTTTTTCTAAGAGAAGTTATTTTCTACGGTGGTTTTATACTGAAGGAAGAGCACAACCAAAAAAAAAAAAAAAAAAAAAAGCATTTATCTCAGTCTGCCCTGCACTCCCCCAGCTTTCAGGAAACGCCGTATCTGCCTTAAAACCAAAGACGGCCCCGCCAGGGGCCGAGGGAGAGGGTGCTTTTACAGAGCCGAGGCCCTGCTTTGCTGCCTGCCTGCAGCCCCCACCGGGGCCCGGGAACACGGGGCCTGAGGGGCAGCTGTGCAATCCTCTGCCGCCTTCCCGTCCTCCTGGAGGCCTGGCCGGGCCCACGCCCGCCCCAGCCCCGGGTGACTGATTCCCCCAGGCCCCAGCTGCGCTTGCTTTTTTTTTTGTATTTTATGAGACAAGAGATGGGAATGCGGTGAGCGGTCAGGGAGGGGGAAGAAGGGTTCGTCGGACCCTGCTTCCGCCCAGCTGTAGCATCGGAGTGGGGTCTGCAGGTCCCTGGAGGTCAAGGTCAAGTGGGCGCAAGGAGAAGGGAAAGGTAGCTCCCTGGGTCAGGCGAGAGTCTGAGGGGCCGCCCGGAGGAGGACGGTGAGGAGGGGCGGAGGGCGTGTGGCGGTCCTTTTTGGCAAACACTAAAGATCCCCTTGGCTCCCCATCTCCCATCTGCACCCCTTCTCTCCTCCAATCAATACACTAGTTGTTTCTACTCCTGCCTGCTGTGGTGTCTTTGTGGGTGCGCGTCGCCGTGTGCTCTGAGGGGCAGACAGACACACAAGCGTGGCACAGTCACCAGCCTCCTCACGTTCACTGCTGCCCCGACTCCCTCTCCCCCCGCCCCCTCCAGGGGGACAAGTACCCGGGTACACATTAGTGTCCGCTGTGGGCAGAGGCCCCCTTGGGGGGCCCCCCTTCACCCCACAGCAGTTACCCAGCACCTCCTACCTCCTGGGCACCTTCTGCTCATGGGCCCGGCCTGGGGGTGGGGGCATCTCGGGGAGCAGAAGCTAGGAAGGGGGCAGGACTGACTGCAAACGCCCAGATAATGCCCCTTTGTGCCGTGCTCTGCTCAGGCTGGCAGAGGAAGTGAACCAGACGGCACCTGCAGTGTCCTCAGGGGACTTACACTCCGCCGAGAGCCAAAAAACAGGATTCCTGTGGATTGCTGTGGTCGGGGATGTGCCAGGCAGAGTGGCAGCCTGCAAGGGGGAGGTGGTTTATAATCCGGGGGCATGGGGAGCCGGGACTAAGGAAAAGGGCCTCCAAAAAGAACGTGAGCCGTGCTAACCAGCCTTTCCATGGCCCTTTGTGCACCCCAAAGCACCTCTGCCCGTCCATGTGACCCTCTGCCTGTCTCACGTGACCCTCTTCCTGTCCTGAGAGGCAATTACTGTCCCCTTTGCCCCTGGACACGGGGACTCAGAGGTAACTTGCCCAAAACCACACAGCTCTGGGCAAGCCAGGAGGTCTGCTCCCAGGGCATCCCACTCCCCCTCGGAACACAAAATGCTGATGATAAAATATACATTCCCTGGGCGGAGTTTTGTGCCTGCTTTCAAGTCAGTGTGAGAAAGTATGCTGGGGAGGATGGGAAAACATACTGGAAAAAGCAAAATAAGAGCAAATGATGCCAAAACCGGTTTGGCTCAGTGGATACAGCGTCGGTCTGCGGACTGAAAGGTCCCAGGTTTGATTCTGGTCAAGAGCATGTATGTTGGTTGTGGACACATTCCCAGTAAGGGGTGTGCAGGAGGCAGCTGGTCGATGTTTCTCTCTCATCGATGTTTCTAGCTCTCTATCCCTCTCCCTCTCTGTGGAAAATCAGTTAAAAAAATTAAAAAAAGCCTCTGAATTCATGCTGGAAACCCCTGTTCCCACAGGCTGGGAGAGGGGTTCTGAGAGGCAGAGGGCCCTGCCTCCGGCGGGCAGCCTCAGAGAAAAACCACCCACCCCCGCCGGCGGCTCAGCGGGGAGCATCCACCTGCGAACCAGGCTGTCACCGTGTGAGCTCCCTCTGGGCGCGGTTGCGGCTGGATCCCCAGTAGAGGGCGTGCAGGAGGCAGCCGATCATCACTGATGTTTCTACCTCCCTTTCCTTCCTTTCTGAAACCAAATACACAACTATCTTCTTAAAAGAAGGAGAAAGAAACCCCTCTCCCAGGCCTGGACAAGGACCCAGGGGCCCTGGTAGGTCTTGGACATCAGGGAAGGAGACCCATCTTCTGGGGGCGCCTACTTGCACTTCCAGGCCTGGGCACCCGGGGGCGCCAGAGCCCCGCCGTGGCCAGCAAGGGGATGGCTCTGGCTCTGAATGAAAGAGGAAGCCTTCCGGAGGCTGAGCGGACAACGCGACCAGCAGGCGAGGTCCCTGTTCTCGAAGGGATAAAGCCAATCGGCAAGCTGGCTTTGTCCGCTGCTGCAAGCTGGTCACTCCATGACAGGTCACCCCTCAGCAGGCCACGTGGGATTATTTAAAATATGCATAGAAACCGAAACCAGTTTGGCTCAATGGATAGAGCGTTGGCTTGCGGACTGAAGGGTCCCGGGTTCGATTCCGGCCAAGGACATGTACATTGGTTACGGGCACATCCCCGGTGGGGGGTGTGCAGGAGGCGGCTGGTCGATGTTTCTCTCTCATCAACGTTTCTAGCTCTCTATCTCTCTCCCTTCCTCTCTGTAAAAAATCAATAAAAATATATTAAAAAAAAAAAAAAGAAGCAGAAGAAGTAGGGGGAAAAAGAGTCACCCCTTTTCCAATGCCCAGAGGCACTCACTGATGGATTTCCTTCCGATGTTTTTTCCTGAGCATTTACTATGGAGTTAAAATCTCGCTGTGGCTCAGCATTTGGTTCTGCTCTTTTCCTGGTTAAAATGCATAAGCACTTTCCAATGTTATTTCAAAGTTTATAAACATTGTTTAAAAATAACGGATTCCTTTTCTGTCGGTTTCATGGAAGAAATACTTTGCCATTTCAGAGAGATTAGAAAAGGAGTAAGAAAAAAAAAACCCCAAAACCATCTCAGTGGAAACCATCATGGACATTATAACGGGAGGCCTCTGAGCATTTTACTTTTCAATTTTGAAATATATATGACATATTCCATTTCTTACTGGCTGTTATACGTAATGCTTCCTGGAATGTACATCTTTGCACATATCTCTGGGAATTTCCGTGAAATAAATTCTAAGCAAGGGACTGGTTGACTCAGAGTCACACACGGTAAAAAAGGGGCCGTTGATAATATTTCCAAGGGAAATGGGGCCCAAACCCCCTCACATTTCTTCTAACGCCACAAGTTTTGTCAGGTTTTTAAAAATACATATTTTATTGATTTTTCACAGAGAGGAAGGGAGAGGGAGAGAAAGTTAGAAACATCAATGAGAGAGAAACATCGATCAACTGCCTCCTGCACACCCCCTACTGGTGATGTGCCCACAACCAAGGTACATGCCCTTGACTGGAATCGAACCTGGGACCCTTGAGTCTCCAGGCTGACACTGTATCCACTGAGCCAAACCAGCTAGGGCAAGTTTTGTCAGTTTTAATGTTAGCTAACTTTATTGGAGAGCAATTATTTTCATTATTGCTTCAAATAATATGTCTTTGACAAGAAATTGAAAAAAATTTTAATTAATGTATGTGGGTTATTTATATTTCTGTTGGTATAACATGTTCCTATGCCTTTTGCTCATTTTTTTTCTGTTTTTTAATTTTTATTTTTTTATTTTAGAGAAAGAGAGGGTGAGAGAAGGAGAGAGAAAAGCATAGATTTATTGTTCCTCTTACTGATGCGTTCGTTGGTTGACTCTTGTATGTGGTCTGACCCAGGGATCAAACCCACAACCTTAGCTTCTCCGGACAACGCTCTAACCAACTGAGCTACCAGGTGGGACCTTTTTGCTCATTTTTTGTTTTTTAATATATTTTATTGATTTTTTACAGAGAGGAAGGGAGAGAGATAGAGAGCTAGAAACATCCACCAGCTGCCTTCTGCACATGCCCTGCCGGGGATGTCCCCGCAACCAAGGTACATGCCCTTGACTGGAATCGAACCCGGGACCTTTCAGACCGCAGACTGACGCTCTACCACCGAGCCAAACCGGTTTTGGCTGCTCATTTTTTTTATGGCCAAGAGTATCTTCTTCATGTTGGTTTTTAAGACCATATGTATTATATAAACACACTTTTTCATGGCGGGATGTTTGGACCACACTTCCTGTCATCGCCCTCTGGACACTTCACGCATTCCCAGTTTTACTTTGTAAGTGACGGTGCGGGGGATGCCTTTTCTTTAAACATTTCAGTGGTTTCTTAGGATGGAATCCCAACGAGTCCCCTGATGACTGGTCTTTAAATTCTCTTCACTGCTCTCAGCCCTTCCGTGGCCGGAAGTAAAGGGGGAGGCCATTTTTATTCCCCTGTCACCACCCTGACAACCTGTGAGGGTGCAGGTGAGGGAGGGATGAGGCAGGATCTGTGCGTGCCTCAGTGCACCCTGTCCTGCCCCCGGAGGAACGGAGAAAACAAGGCTTGGAGAGGTGTGTGGGAGCCTCTTGCTCTCACCCCCTGGAGTGGCTGAGGTGCTGGCCACACACACACACACACACCCGGGGCCGGGCCTCAGCCCCTTACAATCCTTGGGCCGATTCTCCATGCTTAGTTCCAGCCAGTGCCAGCTGGCAGCTCTTACCGGAGACTGAGGTGGCACAAATATGGGAGAAGTCGGGGCGAGTGGGCAGGGACCCAAAGGGACCAAGATGCAGGAGGTGGTAGTCGGAAGCTGGGTGCCCAACATGGGGGTCACACAGGAAGATGGAAAGGCAAGACTGGGGAGGCGGAAGGCTTCGAGGGGCGTCGAGGCGGTGCCCTCCTGCCCCTGGAGAAGCTTACCTTCTCCCCGCCACCCACTCTCCTCTGCACCCACCCCCTTGAGCTCCTCCGAACGAATTCATCTTGGTCCCTTTAAGAGCTGCCTGGGAACTGGGGCACCGGAGGGGGCTGGCGGGCCCCCCTGCTTGCCCTGCCATGCCGCCTCTGCTCCTCCCGGACTGGTACGGACTCCGCTGGAAGTCTTAGACGGACGCCTGGGTTAGGGCCTCCACTGCTGGGCTGGGGGTAAGGCTTGAAAGTGGCGGGAGCGAGGGGCCACGGTCCTGGGCTGGGCTGGGGATGGGGGGCGCCAGTGGGTGATGTGTGGGGCCCTGGCCTCAGACCGGGGCAGGGGCAGAGCCTAGGGGGCAGGAGGGGTGGGTCTCCTCACCCTCCACGCCCCCATCTCGTTCCCCAGGACCCTCACTCGCTACACTCCACCGGCCGCCCTGTCCCTCCTGCAGTGTCAGACAGAGGGCCCGTCTCACAGGTGGGGAAACGGAGGCTCAGCGAACCAGAGGACAGGGAAGGGTGTGTGCGGCGGCGGAGGGAAGGGGATTGGGCTGCAGAAAGTCTCCCTCCTGCACCCACAGACATGGCCACAGGGGACTGGGTGTCCGGCTGCCCAGCCAGCTCCTGCCTACAGCCATGGCCGCACCTGGGCCAGGTCCCCCTCCCTGCCTCCCCCTCAGGACAGCTCAGCACCGCCCTGGAGCCGTGGGTTTCCCTGTGTCCGGGCCAGGAGAGGCTCCCCGACGCCAGCGGGGTCACCAGGAGCCAGGGGAAGCTGTGGGCTCCCTTACTTTGCTCCCTTGGATTTCTCAGAAACGGAACCCTG